CTCCTGCATTTCTCTTACTTCCCTCTTTAGGGACTCAATTTCCTTCTTCTGATCTATCACTTTTTTAATCATGGCAATTTTAAATTCTCTTTCTGGAAGGCTCAGAAGTTCTTCCAAGTTGCTGTCGTTGCAATCTGGGGAGTGGTTTTCTTTTTGTGGTGTGCTTCTTTCCTGAGGAGTTTTTAGGTTGCGTGTGGTTCTTCTACTCCCTACTGTCTGTTTTCTAATTTGTCGTATGCGTTGGGACACTGTGTTGCTCGGACTGACTGACATCTTGGGTGAACTTCTCCGCTCCCCTCTGGCTCTTCCAGGAGCCATCTCTGTCTTCTGGGGGAGCTTTCTGCTGGTTTTAGGCAGTTTTTACTGAAGAAATGTCCCTGTTCTCAAATGGCGAAGCGGGATGCAGTCCCTGCGCCTCCGGTTTCAGGCACACTCTTCTGCGCACCCGGTCTGCCCCGGACGTGGGTGCCTGCTCCCTCTGTGGGCTCAGACTGCTGGTCGGAAGGGGCCTGGCGTGGAATAACTTCCCGGCTGGCCACTGGGTCCTCCAGAAACCTTCTGCCCTTTTCAAGCAGTCTTAAGAAATGTCCTGTTTTATAGGGTGTTAGTGACTTTTTTTTTTCCTGGTCGCTAGGTGGCGCCAGAGATCTCTCCTATTGTCCTTGGGGGGCTGTTTTTCGCCTCCCCCCACCCCGTGGGACAGAGAACAGAGCGGGAATGGTAGGGTACACCTCAACAGCTTTGGGGTGCTGTGTCTGCCTTGTGCCCCACCGTCGTGGAGAAACCACGCCCCGAATTTTCGTGCCCCGGGTCTCAGTTCAAAGCCCTCAGTTCCAGGACGCGGGCTGTAGCCCAGTTCAGTGGCGCGGGAATGGTGCCTTTTGCACAGCTCCGGTGCCTGGGCGCCTGGTTCCTGCTCACTCAGGGAGGGACCTTCACCTCAGTGAGGACCTCCGTGCGTCTCCCCGCAAGCCTAGGTCGTCTCCCCGCAAGCCTAGGTCGCAGGCGCGGGGACCTGGGCAGCCGAGATCCAGGTCTGCACTTGCTTTTCAAGCTCCCCGAGCGCGCCGCGTTTCCGCGCCAGCTTACCGGCAGCCCGGGCTGTGTGCGTGTCTCCCGGGGTCTTTGTTCTTCTCTAATGGCGCCTGGAGCCGTTCGCTCACCGCCCTGGCGGATCCTGTAGGGTTCGCCTCAGCTCCCGTTCACGGGGTGTGGTGGCTGCAATAGTTCCTTTCCACTCACAGTCCCGCTTGCTGCGTCGTTTGTTCTTGTGGGCCGTTTTGGTTTGTTGTTTCCTCCTCTCTGCGGGTCGGAGAGTGCCGCCTCTGTGGGCGGGGGAGGGGAGCAGGGTTCTGCGCTTCCCTCCCTTCTAGTCCTCTTTTATGGCCAGTTTCTTCTTCGGGCAGTTCGCTGGCGTCACCCGTTTATCTTCCGTGTCCCAGTTCTCACTGGGACCTGCCGCTTTTCCTCCCTATTAACTTTTTTTAATGGGAGATCTTACTCGCAGCGTCTCCTCGCCGCCATGTTGCTCCGCCCCTGATTTTAATTGTACAACATTTTCATTTAACATAATTGGTGTGTATATTCCCATGCATTGAGAAAGCCCACTGGTTCTTACTTTTAATGAATATTTAGCAAATATGATACATTGGATTTGGGACTATTTTTAAGCCCTGATTTCCACAAGTAACTTATATTTGAATTTCTTAAAGCAATCTTAATTGATAGATAAAGAGTAATGACATCAGCCATATATCCATTTGGTTCTACCAAACTTCCAATGATAAGGGGACTCTACGTGGTGATGTTATTTTACTGTCTACATTTGAAACTTCTTCACCCACAATGCTGTGGGAAATTTGCACACTGTACTTCCTTTTCTAATATTTTAACTGGGTTAGTCTGACATTGATTATTTTTGAGCAATACAAAGTCACTTGGAGGAGGTGCAGTTAAGTACTGCTGCAAAAACATAAGAAAAGTATCATTAGAAATTTTCAAAAATTTATTTTCCAGGAACCAAGCTCTCAAATAAAATAGCAAGAGACACAATATGGAGATACCCAAGGGCCAACCCTCCACTCCTTGCCTACTGTGCCTATATAAGGACCTGCTTCTTGTCACCTCAATTGGCTACCCATTTGGAACCCCTCTCTGCTCAGAGAGATTTTCTGCTTGTCTTCCTATCTATTAGTGAATCTCTTGTTTTTCTGTATCTTTGATACAGATGTTGAATTCTTTCCTTGATAAAGACAAGGACTGAGAAAGAGCTCTCCTGGGATCATGGGACTCCAGGCTTGCTTCCCAAAAATCTCTGATTCATCAGCACCTTTCTCATTGGGTGGCTGAGAGGATTAGGAAAGACAATCCATGCATAAAGTTTTTAGAAATGCAAGTGCTCAATAAAATTTAGCTTTAGTGGAGATAATAGAAAATACAGAGTATTATGTCTGTATGCCAAAGGGTATCTGTTCCACACGTGGGGGCTTGGGGAAAGAATCTTGAAAGAAATGTTCAATGTGAGTCCCATAAGGCAATTAAGATGGAGATAGGCAGAGGTAGAGGCAAAAGAGTTTAAACATTGTCAAGGGTCTATGCACAACCCCAAAGCTGAATCCATCATTTATGTACAATGAAGACTGAAAAAGTCCCACCCAAATAAGCAAGCTCCAAACACAAACTATACCAGTGATCTATTGCTATGTACAATTACCTTCCAGTCTGACATCTTAAAATATACCACATATAAACAGGCCAGTAGAAATACGTGCTCAGCTGTTGACATGATGAGAACTCAATGAACATTTTAAATTCAACTGGAGCTAAATAAGTAATTTTCAGGGAAAAGTTATGATATTTCATCTTTGACATTATGCCAATCCAAAAAACTAAATGGACAGTGAACATGTGGTCATATAAAGAGTAGCAGAAATATAACCAGTAAATATAAAGAAGACAGAATGGCTGGCAAGGATCTGTCATCATTTTGTCTGAAAATAGCTCTTTTTATTTTTTTCCACCTTGTCAGCTCCTTTTAGTGTCTTCCTTTTCCCTTTTCTATTATTTATTATTGAAGCTCTAACCCCATGATTTATTTATTCAATGAATGAGTCAAGGGATGCATTTTTATAACTGCCCCATGCCAAAATGAAAACACACTGTGTAGCTCGAGTTTCTCTCCCAAATTCAATTCCTTCCACCATTATTCCCACAGTGATTGGAGAACTATAGCCAAATTCATAAAAGAAAACAAACAAACAAACAAAAAAACCCACAAGTTTAAAATGTCCTGCTCTTGTACGAAGATAATCATGAGTCAATTCTCTTGTGAGCCAGTGAAATAAATTCTTTCACAAACAGAAAAAAAACAAAAACAAAAACAAAACAACTCCTCTGAAGGCCAAAACAGACAGCAAGAGGTTTATCACGAAAGTTGACTATTGGAAACCTCCATTTTTGACTTTGTAAAGGTTTAGTCTGAAGCAGCCAGGCTTCCTTTTCCTGGTTTGGGGAGGTAGGGTAATTTTCTTTTTTTTGGAGAGGTTATACCAGAACTTGGCTTTGAAAGCAGGCCAAAGACCAAGTCAGACTGCAGAGGTGAGAACAGGAAAACAGTCAGGGGGAAGGGGGTGATGGGACCCCTAATGACGGGCTGAGCAGGGCTCTCCCTCCCCACTATCCCATTCATCCAAAATGATCTCATTTTCTTCCTTTCCCTGGAAACCTTACTGCATCTATTATTTGAACTTGCACATTATAATACCAATGGTTTCACGTATATGTGTAATCTAGCGAAACCAAACAAAGGACCAGACAGAGATAAACTGTAAGACTGACCCTTGAAAGCAGATCATAGATCTGAGACGCTCAAGAGGGGTCAGGTGGAGGAGAGTAAAAAACAGGGGAGGAGGAGAGAAAAGTGGAATGTAGTGGAGGACTGTGGGCACTTTGGTGGTGGGAAAACTATGGTGACCACACCTGAGAGGAGAAATCCTACACTGTGAAAAAACAAACAAGGAAGTGGAAAAAAAAAAAAAAAAAAAAGCAATGCCCTGGGTTACTGCTGCTGTCTCAGACTAGCATCATCCTCTCCCTACTGTCTTCAGCAGTATATCCTAGAATCTCATGGGGAACTTCTTTAAAACATGGATTCTGTTTGGGTTAGGGTTTTGGTGGAACCCTGGAAATCTTATTTTTAGTAAAGGCCTAAATAGCTGCTTTATTAGTTAAGTTTGAAAAAAGCTGATATGCAGGCTACTGTAGTATTCTAGGTCACGTTCTACAAGGTCACACCCACTTCCCCAGCCCTATCTCTGCCACCCCCTCAAATACCCTCCTCCAACTCCACTGTCTTTACTGATCAACTGTTACTCACTGGTTAGCTGAATCCTGACATCCTCTCAGGCCTTCCTGTCTGCCTGCCTTCCTCTGTGCCCACCCCCAGCTCTTGCCATACTCTGGGCATGCTTTGTTAATTGATCTAAAACATGAGCTCTAGGGCTGTACTGAAGGCAGTCTTGACCCTAGGCATTTGGGCCAGGCTAGGCTGGGTGATCTCCCAATATGTGGCATGGAGGGAATTAGACAAATAAAGGGTATGTGGCAATAAATTCCAGCCATCCAGGATTATTTTTAAAAGCCCAGAATTTCTTCTTTTCTTATGCCCACTGATTTGAGAGTCTAAGTGATTCTCTCATCAGGAGTTCGTTCCATGAGACCCAATTTATGGCTGAGGAGCTTTTGGGAGAGTCAAGTAAAGTGGTCAGTATAATTAACTAGAGGGCAAGAGATTGCAGGCAAGACATTGCTTTCCAGTCTTAGCTGTGCACAGATGTTTACTGACTCATGCTGCCTCGCTATGCAGAAATCTCTACCTAAGGTGCTGGGAGAGGAGGCATGTGGGCTGAGTAATTATAAATGCCTTTCAGAAGTATGGAACTTAAAATAATTTCCTCTTGTAGTTTTTCATAACAACAAGTGCTTGTCTTTAATTCTCACAGAAGACATCAAGGACTAATGTCACTGATGCTTTCAGAAGAATGAGTCTGCTGGCAGGTAAGATACCCAGATGCTCACCTTGAATGGGAAGAAAAGGGCATTGAATTGATCAGGACACAAGGTAACAGCCTGTCTGATCTGTACTGGTGAACAGGGAGAGGGGTCAGAAGAACATTCTGTCTCTTGTGACTGGATTGCTGTTGGAGAGAGGACTCACCTTGGTGAAAACAGATCTCTTTCTCACAGGATAAATGAGGAGTAACTAGGATTGAGGCTTCCTGTCTCACTGTTAGCTTCCTAATCTGCCACCTGCGAGATATCTGAGGAGCAGAAAATGTAATTTTGTCTAGTTTTACTGAATAACAGTCTCTCCTCATCTTAAAAAAATATATCTAATAAAGTACTCTAACATTTAAATATTTCTGGAGTCCATCTGAAATTAGCTCAAGCACAATTTCCATATTTTATATGTACCATATAAACCTGTCTTTGTGTTTAATGGACGCTTCATGCTCACTGATAAATCTGAGGAGCAGGAGACAGGGCAGGTTCCTGAGAGCTGGGAGAGAGCTGATATTGCCGGTGCTGTCTGTGGGCTAATAAAGAGCACTGTGGGCTTGAAAGACTGGAGCTGCTCTGCTCTCCGGTGAATATGCATTTTCTCCAGCCAGATTAAGGATTCATTTTGTCCTTGACACAGCATGAAATTCAATCTGTGCCTACTTACCCTACAGAAAACAGCCTGCCAGGGGTCGTGCTAAGATTTTATAATAGTACAGGCAACAGTCTTTACTAGTGAAATAAACATTTGGAAAATTGTATTTCAGAATGGCTTTTCCCTTCACCCCCACCCCCAACCAGTCATGCAATTCTGGTTCAATGAAATGCAGCATTTAATATTTTGGAAATAATTTTTGAACAGATGGGAGAAGAGGCAGGAGGGCAACCTCTATTGCTGTCCTTGATGATCTCTCTACCTCCCCTTCTTTTTCAACAAAACAACTCAAGCAGAGCTTGTTTCTCTTTTGAAAGGAAAAAAAAGGCAGCAGGAAAGTATTTTCAGATTTGTTCTTTGTTTTTCTTTAAAATCTTTAAATTTGAGGTCTTTTGTGTGACATGGAGAGTTCATTTTGAACCTGACTTCTAAGGATGTATTGGAGAGAAGCAGAGGTTGTTAGGGAGGGGGGGAGGGAGAGAAACATTCTTTCTGCCTCCAGTGGAATGAGGCTCAGAACCTTTGTTTCTATAGAACCAGGAGGGTGATTCTTCACACTCTCTTTATTGGACGACAAATATCTTTCCAGATGAACACACTTCTAATCTAATTAGCTATAAACAGCCTCTCGGGTGCCACACTGCTTAACTAGAGGTTGGCATGAGTGAGAGGAGAAAGGGCTGCTACAGGAGAGAGATTCTAGGCCAGGGTGCCTCTCCATGGGTACAGTTAGATGGTGATGCACTGTAGGAGTGTTCTGTGCTTTAGAAGGAGACAAAAGGAAAGTAATGTTGAGAAGGGCAAAATGACCTATAATGAAGTCATGAATTCTTCCAAGAGCACCTCTCCTCTTTCTAGACAATAGGATCACTTGGGCAACCATGCTGAGGGTTCTGACGGGTCCTGGTGGGTAATAGGCATTCCCACTGTCAGACTTGGAGTGAGACCCCCAGTTGAATGTTTACTGTGGGACAGCTGGTCCCACTATGGCACCTTTCTCTACAGACCTTGAGTTCATGGAAGGATTAAAGGCAGGGTCAGGGCTCAATGGGTACTCCCTCGTTTCATAGTCAGAACAATAGATTCAAAATCTCTGTCTGCTGAAGAGGTAATAGAAAGGTCTCCTGGCTGCATTTTAAAAGTGGATTTCTGCTTTCTTGCCTTTTTCTGGTCACTTTGGGAAGGATACCTTGAGATAGAGGAGGAATGTGAGGAGTAGATCCGGCATGTGGTAAACAGCAGGCACTGGGGATGAGGCAGGCTCCAGGGTAATAGGACACAAGGAAGGAGGTTCTATTGGGCTAAGGACATGCTGATGGCCAGCTCAGTCCCTGAATCCACTAGCCCATGAGTTTGAGTAATCAGCACCAGCCTCAGACACTGTTCCTGGACACTGGCCCAGTCTTGAGCCACGGAATGATTTCTGGTGCTTTCGGCCTCCTGGACATTCCTGCTACCCTCCCAGGGATGACTTGGATTGACTCAAGACTGACTCCAGAGTTCAAGTGGCTTCTGCTGGGTAAACACCAGTTATTTCTGGGTTCCAAGCTCACTCCTTATTCTCTGCTCTGTAGTACTGAGCTGGATACTGCAAACTACACTTCCTATACCCCTCTGTGAGGAGGCATCTGCCAGTAGAGGTGCAGATGGGAGATGGGCAAGCAGAAGGGGAGGAGGAGGTGCTATCCTCTGCCTTCCAGGTAAGTTTGGCATCCTCCAGCAGCTTTTAGCCTCCTTTGACACTTCTGGCTCCAGTCTCTCTGTGCCCCTTAGTAGTGCCAGCTGCAGCTGGTCTGCATGCCCTGGGAAGTCAGAATACAGACAGTGCCAAGATCCAAGCACCAGCTGTACCCTTTCCTCTAGCTTGAGTAATAGCCCATTTTTCCTTCCCAAGTCCTGGGGTCAGCAGCTGCTTCTTGCATTTGTTACTCTCTTATTACCTCAATAGTCTTCCTTTTGTTCTAGCACCTAAGTAACCAGTTCCCTATGTTAAATCCAACATCTGCATATCCAGTCCTCTCTATTAAACTCCCTTTGTCTGAACGCTCTTATTTTCCTGACTGGTCCCTGCTATATGTTGGCTCTCCCTTTGGCTAGGAATCCAGTTTAAAAGGGTTGGCCTGCTGAGTTAGCCAGAAGGTTGGAGGCTCTCACCCTTTATGGTGACATCATTAAAAGATTCAAATGTTAAAACCCACAGGCTGAGAGAATATGGGGATGCTCACCTCAGCAGAATGGGTACGCTCAATTAATGTACTCTCAGGGGAACCTCACACATCCCAACCAACTCTAGAAACTTGAGCTGTGAGACAAGCCCATGTCATGATTCCTGATTTTACCCTGAAACATTCCATCATAGAATACCTCTTCTCTGACATTAAGAGATGTGAAGAATTTGGAAAATTCACTGCAGAACCACACAAACACATCTTTCTTTTGTAAATCCTCAAAGTATGAACATTGGACGCAGTGGAAAAACTGGATGGTGGTGGTCTGTAAGTATGATCTAGAAAGTAAAATTCCAGAGATTTTTGAGACCCTCAAAGAAGGTTTATGAGATCACTACTTTCATTTTAAAGACTTGACTTGCCTCTTCATTCTAATTCACCACTGAGAGCAAAAACTTTAACATACTTAGACAAACTTTTACATACTTAGGTGACATACTTAGATAAGGAAAGATGGAAGGAAGAAGCAGCTATAGGACCCAACTGTCTTCTAGTGAACAGATACCAAGGAGATTCACAAAAATGGAAATAGTGCTACTCTTCTAATATATGTATTTTTGTTTGTTTTGGAATTTTTTTTTGCAATGAAAATATTATTCATTACTGTGTTTCTTATTGTTACTTTAAGATGAATACATTGTTGAAAACCTTTTCAGTTTTTTTTTAAAAGATTTATTTATTTATTTATTTATTTGTACAAGCACTGGGTACAGTCAGAATTGCGGGAGGGTGAGAGAATTCACCAGAGTCAGAGCGGGGAGCAGAACAGGCAGAAGGACCGAAGTACACTGCTGAGGGGAGCAGCGGGCGTGGCAGGAGAGGTCTGCGCGCCATATGGGACCCTTGCTCGGCGCCCGGGGATCTAACTGGTGCTGCAGAGGCTGCGGCAGCTTTGCAGCCCAGCGCTCAATCGCTGCGCCACCAGGGGAGGCCCAAAAACCTTTTCAGTTTTAATTTCTGTGATGGTAATTATTGATAGATATAGCCTGCAAAACCCAAAACTCTTTGGACTCTTCAGTGTTTCCAAGGACATAAAATAGAAAATGAGACCAAAGCATTTGATACCTGCTTCTCTGTGATGTGGAGAGGCCCTATTCAGACCACCTGGAATGATTAGAGCCAAAGTATGGAGAGAAGAGAATGAACATTCTTTTTTTTTTTTTTTCAAGTTTTCATCTTGTATTTTGTCTGTCGTTTGATTTAATTTATTGTTCTAGTTATAATAGCTTTTTCTGTAGTGATAAAGCCTTCCTGTTTAAAAAATAAATATCAGATTCTGTTTCCTGATTCTTTTTTAAATTTTGATCGATTGTGATAACAAATATATTAATACTACTTCAATTAAAAATAAATTAATTAATTAAAAACTAAAGATAAATTTTCAGATTTTACTTCCAGGAATTACTAATTAAAATTAAAAACACTTTAATGTCATTTTATACCTAATGCAAATCTCTATTCAAGTCCTAGCAATTTAAATTCTCATTGGTGGTCAATGAACATGTCTGTTTCACCACATTTTTGCTAAAAGGAGGGCTTTATCAGTTTTAAACCATTGCCTTTTTGTCAGCTAATAAATGACATTGCATTGTTGTTTTATTTTGTGTTTGGTTATGAGTGAAAATGAAACTATTTTTAGATTTATTGCTTGTGTTTGATTAAGAAGTTATAAGTTTGAATTGATATGCAGGAATTAAAAGATTATTAGAGGATTTAAATTTTACCTCATATGTTTTAAACATTGTTCTAGCATTTCTTTTTTTCCAGGAAGGCATTTTTCTGAATCTTCATATGACTGAGAATAAACTTCTACAGTTCCTCATGTAAGAATAATACCTTGGCATTTAGAGCATTTTTAATACATAATTCTTTCTCAAAACTCTGTTAGAAGCCATTTCACTATTTTCTGAAATTTGGTGTTAAGAGATATATCTGAAGCCAAGTACAGACCCTGGTGCTTTGCTGGGTAGAATGATGGCAAAACATTTCTTTATACTTAGAATAAAAAGAAAAAGCAGGACAAGATGAGGAGAGGGTTTTAGATTCTGGCCCAGTGCTCAGTGAGGAATTTGAACTAAAGGGAAGATTTCCTCAACTCCAGAAAATTACCCTTG